CCGAGCTAGTATATGGCACGACACTGCGACTGCCTGGTGAATTTGTTTCTCCCTCGAGCTTCCCACCAGTGGTAGATCACGCTTCATACGTCAGCAGGCTTACAAACGCAATGCGTTCAGTTAAACCTGCTCCCCTTCGTCCACAGTCCATTGATGTTTTCGTTCATCCGTGTTTGAAAACTTCTTCACATGTATTTGTTCGTCGCGACTCTGTGCGCAGACCCCTGGAACCCCCATATGACGGACCTTATAAGGTAATTAAACGTTCTGATAAATTCTTTGTCTTGGACAAAAACGGCCGCGAGGACACCGTCAGCATTGACCGTCTGAAACCGGCTTACTTGGAGGGTAATCCTATTAGCATAGAGCTGAACGTACCCCAAAATCCACAAGTAACAGAAGATCGTGTAGACATCGATGAAGTCGCTAGCACAGCGACAGCTACCGAACCTTCTATCGAGCCTCCCAAGAAAACCCGTTCTGGACGCACCGTAAGGTTCCCAGAATATCTGCACACTTATTTGACTTAACGAATTCGTGTGATTCACGCAACTCACTCGTTCGTGGTACTAACTATTTTTTTTGACGTATAAATTTTTTTTATATACAGTACCACCGAACACAAAAAATTTTTTTTCAACAGTTCATGTAACATACACAAAAAAATTAATTAGATGTATTTTTTTTCGATGTTCTGAACTTAGCATTATTTTACTGTATAGTAAATGCACATAATTTTTTTTAACCAAAAAGATCATTTCGTACATTTTCCTCGACATGGTTCTTAGCGTTCTTGTTTTCTTTTCCAGGTGCGACGGGCACTGGACGGGAAACAAACGAAGCACGGAATCCAACGAACAACACCAGGAAGCTATGTACAAACACCCCATTAGCATAGGCAGACAAACCAGTAGGCATAAGACCAAGCCGCTCGGAAGATTTTTTTCACCCGAAAGGGAACCATCGAGTTTTTTTACTTCCGGCTGGTTCTGTCTTAGGGTCCTCACGACCCCACTAGGGGGGAGTGAGCTGTAGCGGTAAATAATTCCCCAAAATTATTGACCACAGCAATCACTCATTGGATGCTGACCACCACTGTTTAAGTCGACTTGTTTAGCTGAAGGCTTCCGGTCAAGCATCCCCGCCATTTGGTACCTCGTCGTGTCACGTGCACGATCACTAGCTAGCTAAGCGTTCGTCTAACGGCTGGTTTTGGTTACTAAATATATATCTTGGTTTGGACGATCAATTGTTGGCTTTTGCTTTGTCTTTGGTACGCGAGAATAAATTAATTAGAAGTTGTTGAACGAGATATCACGTCAAACCTTTAATATCCGTCAACCTTTAAAGCATCGTTGTAAAAATAAAGTGACTTCACTTGAAAATCAAAATGGCACAGAAATCATTTGTGATAGAAGATTCTTAACTATAGGGTAAACAATTTTATGCATCAAGATTTGCCTACGTTTTCGAAAGACTGGAAACCAATGCAATCAACCGCTCACCATATTTACCAGTATGTACATGACATAAATATTAATATATATACCTTAACTCCAAAAGTACTCGATTTATTTATACTAGATATAAATAAAAACAAAACAATCGGTAGTCAGAAATACGAGACACATTTTAGGATCGGAAAGGCAGAGCGATGATGCTTGCTTAGTAAGCTAGGATTGGCGAGCAAACACTTGAATGTAACAAGAGAGCATGAGAAATTTTTGGATGTTTGATCACGCACCTTCAGTTTAACAGGCTGGCTGAAACAGTGAAGATCAGCATCTGTTGTCGATGGAAGAATACTGTGGACCAGTAATTTCGGGGGATTCTTCACTGCTACAACTGGAAATTATTCAGTACTGTGCCAAGCTCCAGTGAAACTCTGTACATGTTTATATGAGGAATTGGTATTGGCAATGACTTTGGGCAGTCAGCAAGGGTTTAGAACGGCGACAGTGACCACGTTATATATATATATATATATATATATATATATATATATATATATATTTCATAACAATAAACTAAGCAATTGATTCACTTCAGTGAATGAGATTATATGGTGAATTGAGCGAACAGTATCCAAAGAAGAAGCCATCTTTATTTAAAAAATTACTATTTATTGATAGGAATATGAAATACAGCATTCTTTTCGGCAAATTTCTACGCAGCTAAATAGCTCACAATTAGGTAGGGATGTTATCATTCCGCAGAAAAAAGAACAAAATGGATGTGCGTTGTCGAAGCCTCTTGTTTTACTTGGAGTCTAAAGGAACAATAGTAATTCCACTATGGATAAGATTTTATTTTGATAAATCACTCAGTGTTGTACAGTTATATTAATACTGGTTGAAAAAGACTGTATTTTACTTGTGAGATCAACAGAATAAGAAATCAATACTCAGCCAACATCCTGAAACTAGTAATCGATTGAGTCATCTGAATTGCTTCATCCTTGATCTATGAGATCTATGATCTGTGCATTTTGGTATTGAATACTGAATCGAAATAGTGAGGTAAAAGTCTATGAGTGAGGATAAAGGCCGACACCAGGTGTTATCGCGCAATGCCATCGGTTACCGCGCTCACGTCAACAGACGTTATAATCACCTATTTTTTTGGAAATAGATTATATTTGACTAGTTTTAGACTTATGTAGCCGGATGGCAGTATTTTGCTGTATTTTGTTCTTAGTAGAGCGTAAAATTGTATATTATAGCTCGGACGAATTATCAATGAAGAAGTCATCCTTTTTAAGAAAGTTCGCATAGAAAGACTATTATTTGCATTATAGTGCGTTGAGGGTTTGTTTATTTTCCAGTTGTTTCAGATCTTAAGGTTGTAAATATACTGCAGTCAATGGCTGTTGTCATTCCAGTGAATCTATGAGAATCTGGCCTATGAAAGATAAATAGCATGCAGACATAGGTTAGATGTGTGCTTTGAACATGTTAAACTTTTCTGTTATCATCCGGGATGACTGAAATATTCCATAACACATTGACGACATTATGCGATGAATGAGACAGGCTGCTGAATTTCCTGGTTATTATATCTATTTAGATGAAGTTCCTAGTTAAAAGTGCTTGGGCGAAGATGTGAAAATAGTTTAATTGACATTTGCACATGGAATTTCACAATGCCTTAATTGCTCAGTGCATGAAATGGCATCAGAGTATATTGACATCAGTGTTCATTGTGTCTGGAAGAATAGTATAAATAGTCCTTCTCAAATGTCAGAGTACTTAAAATTAGTACCAGATTTATGTCGATTAGTAGCTGGCGGCTGTGTCGTACAACTACTACACCTGTTACATAGGTTATATCAATCTTAAAAATTATTTTGCTTCACATCACTAAGATAATTTGAGATCCTTAATGACTTAATTGTGGCTATGAAAGATGTAGAAGATGCACTTATGGCTGATATATTTAAAGCAGTTATTATTAACAAGTTATCTGTAAGCAACTTGTGATGTTCTGAATACTGCAAACTGTTGATAAGAAACTGCATTAAAGGAAAAAATGCTGAACAGCTAGAAAATACTACTGCAGTTTCGTTGGTTGTTACCTTTAGCATTTGTAACTCATTATTCCAAAGCTGCGATTGACGCCAAACCATCCATGGTACCCCACAGGCCCTATTGAAATTTGTGAGACATCTTACATGTCAGGTTGTCTTCCATATTATAAGGTTGCAGATCTTTCAATTTACCTCTCACTGAAGTATCACTTATCTACTTCACTATGGTCTTTTCATTTGTGCACTATTACACTGCATTTTATGTTAACTGGATATGCCTTTATGCTTACAGTCTATTTGCTTTTATTAGAAACACAACAACAGCAGTGTTGGAACAAAGCTGTATTTTCATAGAAAACATCATATTTTCTATCCTTACACCAATATGGTTGGCATTAAACATTGCAGATGTATACTCACATTCCAACGACATAGCACTTAGCCAAATGTACGGTGTTCATTATTAAGGGTTTACAATTTAACTCTTATAATTCATGATACTTCACGATTGCAGTTTATAACATAACTTATTGCGCCTGTAGAAATGACATGCATTCATTGTAAACATTGGTTTAAACGAAATTTGAAATTATTACTATATGCTTGCTGCTATCCTTTAGAAGAGGAATAATGTGTGTTGCAGTGAAAACCCCAGAATAATGATGTCATTACCAAAGAATGAGAAAGGAGAATAAACCATTTTCAGCAAAGGTAGGCAGATATAAATCGTTTACCTTTAATATTACTTCTTCCTTACTTCAGCTATTTAAAAAACACTTTGTTTACTTATTTGTAGATATCTGGTAACGTCAATCACCCCAGTCACAGAGATTCGACATTGCACAAATTATTCCGACAATCGACTGCGTAAACACATTTGCTTGTTATTATTTTTTCATTAAATACATTTAATATCCTGCTTACCAGACCTTTCTTATTATATCTGAGTTTAGATGTATTTGTCATGATGACTAGGTGCAGACATGACTTATTAATAAGAACTGACGAAGTAATTGGTGGCATATTTTAGTGTAAGCTAAATCTAAATACGATTGTTAAAGCTCAACGAATTCAATAATTCGTCTGGTGTAGAGTTGAATTTACGCTACATGTCAACAGCCTTAGTCATATGGATTGACATCACGCTTTAAGTGAAACATTAGTAATGCAATACTTTCGAATACACGTAACCGTATAAGAACAGGGACTCGAATGCAGTGCCTAAGGTATGCCTACTATTGTCCCTAAAGACTTGTATATGACTATGATACTTATGCACGTTAGCTAACTGAAATACTTATAATTTAACACGTATGCTGACCGACATCGTTCCTACACAATTACACTTACGTATTGTTAGTAGTGAAAGTCCTAGAGAGCACCGGTCTAGCATGCCGTGCTCACAAAGTGAACACATGAATTGAAAGACAACAAAATTTACATGAAAATTTTATTTTCATTATGACAAAAATTTAGTTTATTTACATATTAAGAACACGATTGATTCCTGCGATTACTCCGTCTGCATAAGCATTGGCAAACACTTCTCCAAATTTGTCATTAATTCTGTCCATACCCGCATTGATAATCTTCTTTTTGGTATCGTATATGTTACTTCGATTTCGAGGGATAACTGCTGACGTACTTTGAGATGCGAACAAGTTGCGTGACCACGTCCATTGTTTACAATTATGCATCACATGGTTAACTACAAAAGGTGGAACAAAAAAAGTTAAGATAACTATGAACTGATTATTACATTACATTATACATTAAAAACGTAGTCATAAAAACGCAAATATACCTGTGAAATACGGCTTTCTTAAGTGGACCAAAAGCAAGTGTCGGCAGGGGTACCGACAGGTCTGAAATGTAAAGCACGTGCAGGTGCAAGCACTCAGATCAACCTGCACTGTTTTCCCATTTTCTTTGAAAAATACATAATCAACGGATTCGAACTCAACAGTAGCCCATCGTCGCAATTGGTATTCACGTATTACCTTCCTCGCGGCGTATGGTGTAAGCAACCGTATAATTGGGATTAAACTTTGTGAACAGGGATACGTGAAGCATCGTGATTGAGCAATATTCGCCTCCTGCTGTATTATTGAAAAACTTCGTTTATGCCATTTATACACCTTTAGCATACTTTTATGCAGACTATCAGATCTTTGCAAAAACCGTTTCATCTGCTTGTGGGAACTCTCGACACGATTATTTGTATCGTTCCCAAAAGTCAGCACGTTATCTCTGAAACAGGCCGCCCACAATTCTCGTCGATGCATCCAACGACGTTGTAGATATTGACTGACATTAGCATCCAATCTGCTAATAACTCTGAAGTAGAAATTAAATCTGCAAAATGAGAACAATAGAGGCATTACTCTGATCTCCTTTTACACTGCACTAGACGGCATAAGTAGTTCTTCACAATGGGATTTCTTGTCTACGAATAAAATGTAAAGTATGCTTTGAAAAACTTACTTTCCGACAGAAAGCTCGGCAAACATGAAAAGAACACAAAACAATGTGCGCTTGTCTGTGCGTTAACTTGACGGCTGCTATTTCAGCTTGCGCACAATCCATAATGAAGGATTCTGTTTTCGAGGTGTCTTCCATTATTTGCCGGAAACAGTCTAATATCCAAACTACATCTCGTTTGAATTCTTTTCTAGTCCACGCAAATAAAACTGGTCGTCCACGACCAAAATTATCCGTCACAAGTAGCTGGAACAAAGAATACCTGCACGTTGATTAATGAATTGGTAAACTTACTTCCCTTTATTTGTATTATACGTCGAATCAATACCAACAACTTCAGGGAACTGTTTATACAATTCCATTTGCTCATAAGTTGCAAAACAAATTCTTGTTAGTGAATTCCTGATCGGTTCATCGGAATAATACTCCATTAACTTCCCACGGGATTTTAGGAATTCAAAAATGTCACGACGACTCGAAATACCTTAAGTATGTAACAAGTACGTCAACGTTACCTTTATTCACTGCGGCTTTCATATTTTTAACGTCAATGCGAGTTATATCCTTCTGGTACTTAGTGAGTGTAGGATAACTACACTGTTAGCATTATATGACTTCCTCACTTTTTGAAATTCTGCTAATGACTTCTCAAATTCATCCCAGCTGAAGAAACGCTTTCCAAGTATGTATTCAGCAAAAATTCCACTTAAATCTGTGCTCCTGTCACTCGAATTGACTACCTGCAACGGACTAAAATAAAGTTATCAATTAGGATCCATCTATGTCACAACTATTCCAACATAAATCGTAAAAAAACAACATTGAAATACAGGGATGATCGATAACCATCAAGAAAATGCCGCACGTATAACCTAAATTACAGAAAAACACAAGAACCCACCGGTTCGTTGACATCGCAAGCAACCAATAGACCAAACAACGAATTGTACGACAAATAATGCCTAGTACATGCACAAACAAAGAAAAACAAAGCGTTACAATAGTTTCATACACGTTTACAGTAATCACATATGCTGGCAAACGACGCAAACACAACCACGCAAATACAGCACCCGACAGCACGCACCCAAGGACAATTCAAACTCCAATTGACCGCCACCATTCTAGCCAATGAAAGACGAAAAAAAATTAGTCGCGGAAAATATAACACGAGACAACCTATATCCTCACCCAAAGTCTATGGTGCGTTACTGTTCCGATGGATGTTGACCTTTACGCTTACTTCGGTCTTAGCGATGATTGCACTCCAAAGGATATACAAAGAGCATATAAACGAAAAGCCAGAGAAGCTCATCCAGATAAAAACAAGGACAATCCACTAGCAAGTATGTGAATATATATTGGAATATTACAACTAACAATTTTTTTCAGAGGAACAATTTCAGGAGTTAAGTGTCTACTTCGAAATCCTATATGATCCGGTTAAAAAAGTGTGTGTTTCGTTTTGTGGGTACTACTTTTGTCGTTTTGAAGCTACGAGACTGTTTGTATGTTCGTTTTGTCCACTCCATGTGGTAAAACACCGTGCATCATAATACCTTGACACCGCGTCTGTTTGGCACACTGATCATGTGCATATAGTAACTTAAAAGAAATTAACTGATAGTAGTAGTACACGTTATCTGGCTACTTAATGCATGTCAGTGCATTTGGCAACGTGCCACGCCTGTTTTCCGAGGCTTGGTAAAACTGTACGAGTTTCTGTTCCTCGGTTGTTGGTGGCCACCTGGGTAGTCGAATCCACATTTCACTTAGCTTAAACATTTTATCTGCTGGTCAGTTATCGTTGGAAATAGTTTTTACGTACTTTTCAAGTCGTGTTTGCGTAAGTTTAGTCATTCAATGAGTATTTCAGCTTAGCGTTGCTGCATAACTGCCAGTGTGTTGGTAAGGAAACCCGAAGTCGTATCCTTTTGAATTATTACCAGTGCCGTGTCTACAAACACTTTGTAGAGGCGCTCACCAAGTGAATTGTGAGTCTTCTGTTGTTAAGTTAATGACTTCATCAGGCAGTAGGCCACACTTTAATTATCGAGACTATTTTTAGATATTGCTTAGCTAATAAGGCATTTGCTTTTAGATTCAGTAGGCTGAAGTTCATAATTTTCCGAAGGAATCGTGTATAAATGTGAAGAAACAGTCTGTAATACGGTTATTCGACAAAGCCATTTTTATTTTTTAGTTAAATCATTATAACGTCTTAATGATAAGGCCAACATAATGTCAAGGAATATTAAAGTGCTTTTTAAAGTAGCCATATTTTGTAGTATAAAACTCGTGTCTCATAACAGTGTGCTATATTAAACGACTTAGCAAGTTAATTGAATGATTAGTAAGGTGGTGTATTTCTTTTGGTGATTTTCTTGTAACGCGCTTACTTGACTTGAAAGTCGGATTCCTACGTATCATGTGGTAAATTGTCTTCTTCAGTTGTCAAGCTTTTGTTGCCTTGGTGCAGAGTGTGTGGTTTTCCTTGTGTTTATCTTACTGTCAGTGGGATTCTGACTTCTTTGTGTAAAGTCGAAGTCAATTCAGTGTATAATAAAAAAAAGCTTTCATCATAAATCACACTATCCATAGACAAATGATTATCATCCTCTGATCTCCCTCCTTATTATGTATCCTGATTTTAAGTTACTAGTTAATGTCTGCATCTCTTTTGATTATTTTTATAGAAAGAATATGACCGGAAGTGGAAGGCTAAAAAAGAAGCCGCTAAACGAATGGAAGCTATGGATTCATCTCGAAGAAAACTTCGGGAAGGTTAGTTCCCCAATTTACGATATTATTAAGTGATTAATTTAATCAGCATAGTCATGTTGATCACCTAGATTTCTAATTATTTTAATTGAGTGTCAGAAAAATGGACAGAAAGACTGGTGTGCTGCTGAAAACTTTTTGGTCTAGCTAGTTGTACAAACTTTGCAATTCGATGCATTTTTGAAGTATCAAAGCTCGGCCACATAGCTAAGGAGACGTTTGTTCAAGGTTAGTTATGACTGACCTGTTTGACTTTGTTGGGTTTTGTAGAGTCGTGTTCGTGTGCAGAGGATCTTACCATTGATTATAGACAGTTTGTAAGACAAATAGAAGTACTCAGAATTAGTGCCGATCTCTGTGGCTTAAAAAACTTAATGAAGTTACATTCGTTTTCAGCTGGAAGTACTACATTAAGTTCAAACTTCCAAGTCGCAGCATATTATTCACTTTATATAGAAATTGTTTACATAGTACTACCGGCGTTTCTTGTGGGAGATGAAAATAGGCTAACCGAAGAGAAGTAAAATGATGCTGAAAACTATTAGCATCTATGTATGGTTAGGGATAAATCAGATCTATTTCATGAAAGCTGATTATACTAACTTACTGGCGAATCTTGATAGAGAAAGCGGGATTTGAATCTGTGACTCATTGGTTAAAAGTGACATGTCTAAATATTAGTTATCACGTTGAATTAAAAGTTGTACACCTAAACATAGCTATAATATGGTAAGAGCAGTCACTCTAATTCTAGAAGTACATTCGAATTGGTAACAGCACCGTGTACTATTTACTTCCCAAATAATTTTTGTGCCAGGTGATTAGGTATGTTTGAGCGGAAGGAATATTCACTAACCTTACTAAGTAATGTACTGCATACGCTTATTTGTCATTATAAAAAAATCAACTGTATTGAGAAGAGAAGAATTAGTTTCATAAGTTGAGTAAGGTCTTGTCTGGTGTCCCTTTTTGTTTGCATTCGTATTATAAGACTTTAAATGGCGGTGGTAACTATGCTACTCTTTATTTGTTTGTCGCCTGTTATGAATCCTTTGCCTTCTTAGTTGACTACTTTTTATCTGTGTGTGTGTGTGTGGATGTAAGTGATAGTAAATGAATGAACGTTTGACACACACCACCGAAAATCCTATTCCACTATTAGGCTGTCATCACCTTTTATAGGGTAGTATAACTAATTAGTTAACAAACTTAGTATTTTCATTTTTAGACTCAGTTTTCTTTGGAGGATGACAGTTTAAATAAAAAAAGATCGTATATATACTTGGCACTGTTCTCTGTAGACTGGTTAAGCCTTATTCAATCTTTACAAACTAGTAAAGGGTTACTACGCAAGGGAAAACATGGGATAAGTGTAAAACAATTCCAGTATAGTCAGCTGTCGCGTCTTATTTTTGGAGTACACTATTATGTCAACCCACACATATTCTAAAATGTTTTTTTTGTTTTCAAAAATCATTGTACAGAGCTTGAAGCCAGAGAAGCTGCTGCAGCAGCAATGCGCAAAAAACAATCTGAGGCCACAGCTAAAGATTTGGCAGCAGATCAGATTCGCAGAGATTGGGAACGTTATACTGAACAAATGCAATGGGAAGCTTTAAAAAAACGAAAGTGTATGGATAGCGAAACTGATAATATTGATTTCAAACCAAAGAAGTCTAGTCAAGCTGTTGTTAGGGTAAGTTGTCACTTACTGTTTTATTACCATCAAAAACAATGATTTTATTCTGTGGCTAAACACATGTATGTATATGTTCGTTACTCAAAAACCGAGCCCGATTCCTGTAGTTGGCGATGAGCTACATCTATTGTGTAAGGGCTGCCCTAACCTCGCCAGGTGGAGTGTGGTTGAAGTCCGTGACCCATTGGTTGAAAGTAGAGTGTCTATACCAATGTACCACAACTCCACTTTTGTGGCTAGACATGTAGCTTGCACTTTGTTTTTCCATGTCTTGATACTGAATAAAAGAGTCATGTTAATTACCACAATGATACACAATCACCCTATGACACCTTGATACCCGCAGATTTTATTTTATATTTCAAAATGTGACTCGTGGTATTAACACACACTTTGTCGTGTCGTAGTTGGCCTTTTCGTATTGTTTTAAAATTTTCAACTGCTGGTGTCTACTTCAAAAAACTTGTATACTCCATATTTGCAATTTTGTGTGTGGAATCCATCAAGATAAACTACAAAAATGTTCCAATAGACTCATATTTTTCTTTTTGTATTGATGAATGCCCTCCTGATGTTGTCATCGCCTTCCTTAACCAGCAATGACTCAGTGGGAGAAGCGTTAAAACTGGTGAAACCAAAACCTGGAAGTAATCTATAAAGTCTTGGACGGTTGGCAGGTGTGGACTGCCTAGTTGGATGAATGCTGAGAAGTGTTGGCTAGAGACTTTTGTTCGAAGTCTCTCTCATTGGCACCGATGCATTCACTTTCTGTGACCACCCATATCCATTAAACCCTTATATTTTTTATGTTACTATTCTTTCTGCGAGGTATTCAAAGTGAATATGGCTGCCTATTATCACTGCTGATATTCTTAATTGTGGTGGACTGGATTGTGTGTCAGATTTTGCGTTGGAATTGAGAAGAAAGGAATACGTTGGACCGATAAGAGGACTCTCGAAGATCTGGATTTCGCTTGTGGATGGTTTGTGTTTAGTGCCACACAAACTCAAAGACCTACAGGCGAAAGCCAACAAACTAACAAAAGAGGCAGGCGGAGAAGACAGAACTCCAGGTGAACGTCAAGGAGACAGTGATGAAGATAACCAACCAACACCAATCAATAGCCACAGGAGAGATTTGTTAGTGGTTACTTCCTTTACTTATCTGGCTAGAAATCACGGTTTCAACCACAGGCCGGCGGAACGGATGAAGATGTCAAGGCCAGACAGTCAGAATCTGAAATGCAAGATACGCCTTCATCTACCTAAAACCAGTTTGGAAATCTTCCACACTCAGTCAGCATAAAGAACAAGATTCGGATTCTCAAATGTGAATTCAGTCAGTCCTTCTATACGGGTCATAAAATTGCACTGTGTCACGAAGCGCATTTGCAATAGCCTGTTGCAGAGTTTTATCAACAGCTGCCCCCTTCGCTGACTCCATACTGAAGATCAAATGGCCATCCGGTCAGGAATAATTAGCAACAAGAAACGTTGGCTGGCAACAAACTAACC